AACCATGTAGCCATCATGGGTAGAAAAGGGTCATACTTTTTAAATGAACCCTTAGTGCTTTTTAGCATAGAGTAGTGGATCCACTTAGTAGTTCAGGTTCTATACCCTCGGCAAGGTCTAGGTGGCCCTGGCAGCGTGGGGCTAAGAAACGTTGTATCATCACTATAGCTCTTAAGTGATGGTTGTCGGTTAGAGAAACTCCCACAACAGTATTTTATATTTTTATATACATCAGAAATATTTGTATTTTCATATACAAACAGAGTTCATATTGTATCTTTGCATACATACAGAGTTATTATTGTATTTCTAAATACACAGAGTTGAAAACCATGTTTTAAAGCTTTTCTTTATACTGCATTATTTACACTGCTTTATATTGAAATCAGTTGAGTTAGGTAAAGCCCACGTAAGTGTTTCTTTCATACTCTTTTCAAGCTTATGTTATGTTTAGCATTCCAAATCGCATACTCGTACATTCAATGTACTGATATCAGTTGGCCTGCATCGTATTATGATGCAGACGCAGGTAACCAGGATCAGCATCCAGCGCATCGTTGATCCAGTTGAGCTTCAGAGTTATTGGTGAGCCTCCTTCCATTCCAGAGGATCCCCCTTTTTTCATTACTTTATCATTTTAGCTCACTAGGATGTCCTGGGCCTGTCCCGACATCCATTTGATCAGTTGTTTTAGAGGCTTCATAGATAGTCAGTCAGATGTTAGTTCAGTCGTCGTCATTTTGTTATTGGCTTATGTTCAGATTTGAGTTGCCATTTTGGCTAAGTTAAATGTTTATTTTTAAAACATTATGAGTTCAGTTTGAGACATGTTGAGTTATCTTGTATTTGGATCCTCTTTCTTATGTCTAAGTCTTCCGCTGAGTAAGTAAGTCATCAGGCCAAGGGTTTTCTTGGGGCCAGCAATGGTTCTCGAGTGCCAGTCTCGCTCAGGGTGTAGGCTCGGGGCGTGACAATGACCAGCCGTGAAGTTCGACATACTACACTTTCTGATCCGACAAGGCTCTGATAACATGTTATTGATAAGGGTTGGAGAGAATAACTTGTTTATTGCTCAATGAATACAGTTATATAAATACATAGTACTAACTAACTATGGTAACTAAATAATCAAATCCCTTCAAATAAGCTAGACTACCATATATACAATATTGTGCAGCTGTGAATTTATTCGATAACAGTTTTCTCCAAGTCATCGGAGTTAACCCATCTTCAAAAATGGTAATTATTTTCCCCTTAAAGACACTTCCATAATTGTTTCTCAAAAACAACCCTAAGTCCCTAACCTACTCTTCAGCGCAACAATTGTTCCCCACCCTTTGGAGATAGAAATCCTTTATTATTAACAAATGGTTTCTTCATTATTTGTTTAACAATATATACATGAAAATCTACATAATCTTACATTTAAACCTAGATATTCCGCAAATGAAATGTCACCAACATTAACTTGAATTAATCACCAAACACAAGGAACTAGGGATGAACGTTCGGATCTTTTGAACTCCAGCTCGGTACTTCGATTTTTCAATAGTTTGTACTTAATGCGTATCAACCTAATTCGGTTTGGTTTGATTTAATTCCATTTTTTTAATTAGGTTGTATCCGTTTTTTGGATATATATATATGTCCACCTCTACAAGAAAGACTTAGCCAATTCCATAGTATAACCAGAACAAGAAATATAACAAAATTCTTTCACCTATATCTTTTTCTTTATATATCCTGTTTAGCAACCCCTAAATAATCTCTGTCTTGATCTTTGAATAACCTATGATTTTATTTCAGCGTCCATGAATGAATAAGTTCACTCCAAATATTGGAAATATACAGCAAACGCTATTTATTATAGATATGTATTATTTCAGCGCATTCATAAGACGCTGGTGAGCAGCTAATGCGCTGCAAACAACTTTCAGAATCACATTTTTAAAGACATATAATATAGCCTAATAGAATTTCTTTCGAAGTTGTGCAATCTGTGTCTTATTCAGCTGGAAGCCTTTGTCAAGAACGTCATCTGGAACAGGTGGTTTTGATGGAAAGATTGTCCAGATAACTCCAGGATTTTGACTATTGAAATAAAATAGACAAGTACATCCTCTGTCCCAATTTATGTGGCACTTTTCGTTTTTCGAGAGTCAAACAGTTTAAATTTGACCAGGAATTTGCGTATGAAATCTTCAATTTTTTTGAAATGAAATTTATATATTTGTAAACTACGTAAAAAGTACTATAAGTCGCAACAATTGATAATTCAAAATGTTTAAAAGATCTATGAAAAATTTACTGTCAAAGCTAGACTTGTTTGAATCTCGAAATTCGAAAAGTGCCACATAAAATGGGACGGAGGGAGTTGCTTTTTTAATTTGTGTCACACATAATACAGGAAGTGAATAAGACCTTGTGGGAACACAAACACACCCTCATGATTCAAGATTTTGAAGAAGAGACGACTCTTAAGGAAGTTAGCAGGATCAGGGACAGCATAAACAGTACCCTCCAGGATAGTTATCATCTCCGTAGCTCGAGGGTGTGTGTGAAGTGGAGCAATACGTTGTGGTTCCAGGTCACCACGAATAATAGAAATACCAAGAGTGTTAAGTCCAGGCATGCTGTTTACATCCACAGTCTTTACAGCAAAACCGAACCCAGGCACTTCATTTCCACTAACATTAAGACCTGAAAATTAGAAATCATCATTCGCTGTTGCAAGCTTTGGGTCTTTTCAAATCTTTCCATTCACGAATACTGCACAGGTAAAATAAAATGAAGCTAAGCATATTATTTCAGATAATAAGAGCTGACACAAATTATATAACATACATACAAAAACCGCCTCATTCCCAAGCGAAAATATAGAAGTACGATTTACCTGAAGCGTGAGAGTCGTTAATAGCAAAACACACTACAACAAAAACACCTTTTAGCGGCAATAAATATACACATTAACAAAGAGTGTTAAAGTCTTTACCGGCATTAGTTAATTGTCATTGGATCCAATGTCGCTAAAGGCTTTACGGACATATATAAAGAGTGCTAATTAATTGCCGCTAAAAGTACATATTTAGTGGCAATTAAGCTATTGACGTTAATTAATTGCCGCTAAAGATCATTTTTGATGTAATGGCATATGTCTTGTAGAGGGTTGTTATCATAAGCATAAGCAGGGGAATTACAAATGAAAGAAATAATGACTAATTTTGTTATGAACCACCACATGCTCATTGTTATGCTTTGGATTTGTTATGATTTTTTTCCAAACAACCAGAAATGTGTTACTATTTTGTATACTAAGAGAAAACCAAGAGGTATTAAAAATATAGCATGGAGTCTATTTGGTAGGGCTAAGTATAGAGTTCCAAATGAACCAATTATATTGTGTCATGAAATTATGTAGAGATCCCCACATTTTTCTGTTAGAAAGAGGGGTAATTTTAGGTTAAAAAATAATAGGTAGAATTTAAGGTTTTTACAATCAATAATACAAAGTTGTAGTCCAAATTCATCTATATAAATATATAAGGTGAAATATATTCACAATCTCATTAACTTGCTTCTAAATTTCATTTTGACACTTCAACTCAATTTTGTTCTGTTTTAATCCTCAACTTCATTTCACATGTACCATCTAAATACAAAAGAACTTATTAAGTGTTCAAACGCTTGTTAGACAAACATTAAAAGGATAAAAAAATATCCAATTAAATAATAATACATATTTCATTTTCTCCGAGTCATTCGAGTTAATCCATCTCTAGAAAGGGTCCCTTGTAATTATTTTCCCCCAAAAGACACTCCCATAATTGTTTCTCCATAACAACCCTAAGTCCCTAACCTACTCTTCAACGCAACAACTGTTCCCCACCCTTATATTAGGAGGTTGAAACCCTCAATTATTAACAAATGGTTTCTACATCGTTTGTTCAATAACTTAAACCTACTTTATTTCATAAATGAAATATCACCAACATTAACTTGAATTAATCACCAACCACAAGGAGCTAGGCGGGGACGTTCAGTTCTTTCGAACTCCGGTTCGATACTTCGATTTGCCAATAGTGTGTACCGAGTACGTATCACACTAATTTGGTTTGGTTCATTTTTTTAAAAAAAGTTTGATTTGATTTAGTTTGATTTTTTTAATTCGGTTCGATCCTGTTTTCTTATATATGCCCACCTGGCCACCTCTACAAGGAAGACCTAGTCAATTCCATAGCATAACCAAGACAACAAATACAAAAACTTCTTTCACCTAACCAATTCTCTATCTTTTTCTTTACCCTCTTTAATAACCTCTTACTCATGGTCTTTGAAGGTTTGTTTTGCTAGCTTCTGCATGACACTTAATTATTTCGATCCTAACATAAATAACCATGTTAGTTTGATCTGAAAACTGCGTAAACCCATTTAAAATATTTATATCTTCACTGCATAAAACAAGAAAATAAAAAAAAGACGATTTTATTTTTTTGAAGATATATATTTAGCATAGAAAGAGTAAAATAAGGAAAGGAGATACTATTACCAATTCTATTAATCTATTTTCTTAAATATTTGCCTTTTCTCTTCTTCTCTAAATTTTATGATTTAAAAAAGAAAAACTAATTCATATTTATATTAAATACGCATCTCATCCATTAATCAAACCTCTTTTTTTCCCACTAAATTAAGTTGATGTCTTCCATCAAAATCTCACTTTCTTAACTTCGTCTAATCCCTTTCTTGATTCTTGACTGTGCTGTGGTTTTTCTTTCAAGAGCTACTGGTACCACTTTGGATGCTTTCATCAATTAATTCAGTTATACTGGTATTACTTCAACAAATAAAAATTGACTATGTTATATTTGTTACAGAAAAAATGATAACACGCGGATCAATTTAATTAAGTGATTTGTTACTAGAAAGTAAATACCTTTATAAATAAACTTAATGAAAACAATAAAGTAAACATTCAGCCATATTCGAGATTAGCCTATGATTTTATTTCAGTTTCCATGAATGAATAAGTTCATTGGAAATATACAGCAAACAGTATTTATTATTCCAACGCATTTCATAAGACGCTGCGCTGGTGAGCAGCTAACACTTCAGAAAATCACATTAGCCTAAGAGAATTTCTTTCGAAGTTGTGCAATCTCTGTCATATTCAGCTGGAAGCCTTTGGCGAGAACGTCGTCTGGAACAGGTGGATTTGATGCAAAGATTGAATTAGGAATCAAGATAAGTCCAGGATTTTGACTATTGAAATAAAAGAGACAAGTAGCTTTTTTGTGTCCCACATTATACAGGAAGTGAATAAGACCTATTGGGAACACAAACACATCGCCAGGATTCAAGATTTTGGAGAAGAGACGACTCTTAAAGAAGTTTGCAGGATCAGGGACAAGAAATCCTGCATAAACAGTACCCTCCAGGATAGTTATCATCTCAGTAGCTCGATGGTGCGTGTGAAGTGGAACAATACGTTGTGGTTCCAGGTCACCACGAACAAGAGAAATACCAAGAGTGTTAAGTCCAGGCATGTTGTTTACATCCACAGTCTTTACAGCAATACCAAACCCAGGCACTTCATTTCCACAAACATTAAGACCTGAAAAGTAGAAATCATTCGCTGTTGCAAGCTTTGGGTCTTTGCACATCTTTCCATTCACGAAAACTGCACACGTGGAATAAAATGGAGCTAAGCATAGTATTCAGATAATAAGAGCCGTCATTAACTCAATGCTAATAAATTAAGGTAAGGGTATAACAAGAAAAAAAAATTTATCCTCCCTTGATTTGTCAACAATGACAAGTAAATAGGGAGTATATACATACAAAAACTACGCCTCATTCCCAATCAAAATATAGAAGGATGATTTACCTGAAGCGTGAGAGTCGTTAACAGCGACACATATGTCCTGCAAAGGGTTGTTATCATAAGCATAAGCAGAGGAACAAATGAAAGCAGTAATGGCTAATGTTGTTATGAACCACAACATGCTCATTGTTTTGTTTGCTTTCAAACAACCAGAAAGGTGTGACTATTTATACGAGAAAAAACAATGGGTACTGAAAATTTTACTGCACGAGTCTATTTGGTAGGGATATCTAGTATAGAGTTAAGAGTTCCACATTAACCAATTATCGGTTTATATAGCATTAAATAGGACATACTCTTTTCTTCGATCTTTACAAATTACAAAAGAATTACTTCATAGCTAATTAAGAAATTTATGCTATTTTGTCCCTAATCTATTTCTAAAATAATTAGTAGCAAATTTGTTGCTTAGCTACAAAATTCATTTGTTACTAAATCATCAATTAATTCAGTTATTGCACTGGGTAGTTCATCTTATTTTCATCATCAATTCATGATATATTTAAGGGACACATAAAATTTCTTTATGAGGAAAAAAAAGAAGGGAGAAACTTTTTTATTCACTTAGGGGTCGTTTGGTTACTGGTTAGAGTTATGCAGGGTTTAGTGTCATGCCCCGAGCCTACACCCTGGGCGGGACCGGCACTCGAAGACCATTGCTGGCCCCAAACGAACCCTTGGCCTGGCTTTCTTAACTCAGCGGAAACTTAACTCAACAGCGTGACTCAATGCAATGAAAGGTTATAAAACAACCAACTAATAAAATATGGCCAAAAAGGCAACTCGAGTCCCAAAAATAGAATATTTACATATATACATAAATGAGAGACTCAATACTAACTGACTGACTGTCTATGAAGCCTCTAAAATACTGAGATGGATGTTGGGACAGACCCCGCAACATCCTAATAAAACAACACTAAGAGAACAAAATATCCGAGTCCTCCGGAAAGCAAAGTGGCTCACCACTGACTCTGGAGTGCTCAACTGGATCAACTGCGTGCTGGATGCTGATCCTGGGTACCTGCGTCTGCATCATAAAACGATGCAGGCCAACTGGCATCAGTACATGGAATGTACGAGTATGCGAGCTGGAAAGCTAAACCACAACTTCCGCTTGAAAAGAGTACAAGAGAACACTTACCTTGACTTTGTTCGACTCATGAATAACCGAACTCAATATAAAGCAATAAGACATATGCATTATATAAATAACTTGTAAAACAGTGTAAACAACTTAGCTCGTTAAGGATAAAACAACAACAAACTCAACTTTACTTATATAAAAGTAATATAACTTTTGTGGGAGGTTCTTTAACCGACAACCACCACTATGAGCCCTAGTGATGATACAACGTCTTACCTCACGTTGCCCGAGGACCATCCTATACCTTGCCGTGATATAGGACCTTACTTTTGCTTAGTGGATCCACTAGCCTAATCTTACGTGATCATCTAAAAAGAATGATACGTCAAGTCCCATGTTGGCGCATGGTTCTTATGGAGAGTTGAGTCAACATGAACTCATGTCCCCTATTCGGTGCTCAATACTACTCCCGAAAATACTTTGGCTCATAAGTGTCTTTAAACACATCTTTCTTTGATTGAGATAATTACTCAAAAACTTAGCCCAAAGGCTCTTTTGGAAAACATGGTTCCTTTCTTACTTTAAATGTAAAAACATTTAGAAACTTCTTTGGGAAGTACATAGTTCCCTAATAACTTTGGAGAAATGGCCTTGACTTTATGCTCTTGGCTTAAATTGAAACTTGAGACTCTTCACTTGGTTTGAAACTCTATACCCTTTTCTTGACTTGAAACTCTTTACTTGACTTGAAACATGAAACGACGTTAAGACGTTCAATAACAACTCTTGGAAAGCTTTAAAGACTTGCTTGGACTTACTTCTTAACTTTGCTTGACTTGACTCTAACTTCACTTTGACTTGATACTAACTTTCCTTGAATTGGATTATGAATTCAAGGTGTTTGATCCATGATATGGAGGAGTTCTTGATGTTTAAACGTACCTTGGAGTATTGGAAACAACTATGAAACAATGGTACAATACCATGGAACATGCATGGACAAGGGGGGAATGACTGAGAAGACTTGGCGCTCTAAGAGGCGCAGAGCGCCAGACCCAAAACTTCAGAGGAGGCCTGCTGGCGCACTGAGAGGCGCGCCGCCCCAAGGGGGAAAGTTCAAAGCCCCTCTTGGGGCGCGCTGGCAGGCGCGCCCCAACCCCTTTTTCCCCGAAAACTTGACTTTTCTCCTTCTTTTCTTCAACTCTAAACCTCCTAAACACTAAGGGTTCCAGCCCCAAATGCTTAGAATCATCAATCCCTCAACATACAATAGAATACAACTCAAAACCCAACCGGAAACAATGTTCCAAACCACAAGGGGCTTCAACAACACAATCAACAACACAACTAACAACATCAATAACTCAACCAATCCTTTTTCAATAATAAAAGGAGCTTGGTGTGTGGGGGAAAGGATCAACCCACACTATGAACTCACATACCTCAATAGGGATCACCCCCGACGATTTCCACGATGGAAACTTGCTTGATCTCCTCTTTCTCTTCTTCTTCTCCTCTTCTTCTCTTCTTTTTCTCTTCTTCTTCTCTTCTTCACTCTCAAACCCTTACTTTCACTCTTTTAAAATGGGACAAAAATGATCCACAATCAGCCTAACACAATAATATATCCTCAAAAGAAATAGCTAGGGAAAAGACCAAAATGCCCTAAAAATTTCCCGGACGGATTCCCTGTCAACTGCCCAACTTTCAAAGGGCATATCTCACTCATACGAACTCAGAATCGAGCAAACTCGGTGGCTTTGGAAAGATCGTTCTACGAAATTTGCAACCATAACTGGAACTACACCTAAATCATCCTGAGATAGAAGTTATGACTGCTCAAAGTTGGCCAACTTTTCCAGATTTTCAAAATTCCTTCCAAAAATGAAATTTTCCAATTCTAAGCCTCTTCAAAGCCATTTCAAATTATCGGATGTTACATTTAGTTATGTTGGGTTTAATTATACGGATATTAGTTATGTAGGTATTATTTAGTTATGTAGAGATTACAATACATGAATTATTAATTATTGAATATTAAACTTGAAGTAAATTATTAATATATATTATTTACAAAATAATAATACATGATAATAAAATATGGAATATATTGAATAATATATAATTCTAATATTTGATTAGCATTGTACCGTCAAAAACTATACAATCAAATTTCTAATATTAAAAAAATATTTATATTTGCATAAATAAAAACTGTAAGTATATACAAAAAATGAAAATATCTATACATAAAAAGAAATAAAAACAACAAACGTAGATAGGAAAACAATAAAGTTTCCAAAATTTTTAAAAATAAAATAAATTAAAAGAAATGAAAATGGTCTATATATAAAAAGAAATAAAAACAACAAACGTAGATAGAAAACAATAAAGTTTCCAATTTAAAAAAATTAATAGGGTAAATATGTAATTTATCATTTTAATACATGTATAACTAATACCCACATAACTTATTCCACCTTCTACCATGCATAACTTTATACATAGATTTCCTCATAAGTTATGTTGGTATTAATTATGTAGCACTACAAAAATGCAACCAAACACCGTATAAATTAATACATGAATAATTTTTATACAACATTTAAATTTTTACCAACCAAACATGGTATAAGTTATGTTGACTTTTATACCTAATACAAAACTTCTACCAAACATAGTAAAGCTAATACAATTTTTTATACATGAATAAGATGTATCTTATACAGTAACCAAACGACCCCTTACAACCTTGTAAGGGTAAAATTTTACACCAGGGTGTGTTCCATATGGGAGGAAAATATTTTTAAATTTTTTCATGTTCACAATTGGTCAAAATTTTGGAAAATATTTTCTCTAGCAAAACAATTGTTCCTGAAATTAATGACTTCCTTAATGGAAGTAGGAAAAAACAGGTTCCATAAGTGATACTTCATCTATCTTAATTACTTGTCCACTTTTGAATTGACATACCTATTAAGAAAACAATGATTGATATAGTGATCAGTTTGTCATTTTACCCATATTAATTATGAAATGGATGAATTAAGAATTTAAGATTTTCAAGAAGTTATACTTTTTTCAAAATTAATTAATTGAGGGAATAATTATAGGTAAAAAAAATTGTCCTTTCTTGATTTGTCAGAATGGATAAGTAAAAAGGGACAAGTAAAAAACCAAAATTGGACAAGTAATTAGAGATAGAGAGAGTACTATTTCACAATGATTGTGTCTTCCCCACCCTCTAACACAGTTCAACTTCACCTCCACCTATGTAGCCCGTCCCCTACTGTTAGGACCTAACTAATTAGGTGTCATGCAGAAGCTAGCAATGTTGTAACATCTCGCACCTAGAAACGACTATAAAGAGTTTAAAATATGAAAATATTGATTTTTGGAAAGAATAAGGAAATCTGGAAATTTTGTCTAAGTTAAGAAAGTGAGTTTTGGCCATTTTCAAACAGCCATAACTCCTAGATCAGGAGGATTTAGGAGCAGCTCTTGATATGGTTGGAAATCCCTTGGAGATATCTTTCCAACGCCACCGAGATTGAACGATTTTGATATCGTATGAGTGAGATATGCCTTCCGGAAGTTGCGCTATTGGATTGAGGAAAGTCCCAATCCGAATTTAGGGAAGGGCAAAGTAGTCTTTTCTCTAATTAATTTCCTAATTTGATTTTAGGGGTTTATTGGGGTAAAAACAAAACCTAAATCAGTTTTGGAAAATTAAAGAACGCTTAGGGCTTGGAGAAGAGAGAAAGGAAGAAAGAACAGGAGAAAAAGGCAAGAATTCGTCAAGATCATCCAAGCTTGCGAGTGGAATTCGTCTGGGGTGATCCCTATTAAGGTATGTGAGATCTTTTCGTGTTGGGTTAGTTCACCCACACACCAACTTGTTTCAATCCATTGATTTTGAGTTGTGTACATGTTGAAGAAGTGAGGTTCTTGAAGAACAATTACAGAATTCTTGTTGGTTGAGTTGTTGATGCTTGGGGATGAAGTGATTCATGTTTCCGGGTTGTTTTTCGAGTTAGATT